CACACACACACAAATCTTTGTTACACACACAAATTCTTTTTACACATACAAATCCTGATTTACAAGTACACAATATTTATGACCACAATTTGAGTCCATACATTGAGGTCAAGGGCATATGTACCACCTTCATAAGGTCCAATTAAAGCATTTCAGTCAGGTTGAGGTCTGGACTTTTACTATTGCACGGTCTAACTGTGGGGTGAATTTACTAGAACGTCCACTCCTGAGAAGATTGCCTTTGAATATTTTCCACTTGTGAAGAATCTTTCTAACTTTAGAATGGTGGACTACAAATAGTGGTATAAATAGCCTAAAAATACAGATTGACTGATAATAATAACTGACTATCTAAGATCATTGCTTATGTCTTTCCTCCTTGGCATTGTGTTAACACACACCTAAATAGTCCATATGCTCACACTTCCTTAGAAACCTTAGAAATGACAAAGGGTGTACTTCCTTTTTCACATGACTCCATGTACCACATACCTTTATAGCAAAAACATATCAGCTGATTACTCCCAATATACATACCTCTAGCTTGGACCTGTACAGTACAATGGACTCTGTTTTTCCAAAATGTTCCACAGCAGCAACCACGTCTTCATGAGAAAAAGTTTCGACAATCCCATGTAATTTGACCATTGTTGAAGTAAAAGATTTACTAGCCTGTGCAAACAGACAAAAAAATAAATAAAAAATCAGTAACTAACTATAGACTTGACTGTGAATGATTGAAACTAGTTCCGTTTATAATTTGTTTGGTGTAGGCAAACACATCCTTGTCTGTCGACGAGTCCTGTTAGTCATAAGGAAAACTTTTCTTTTAATTGTTTCTTTCTTTTCCCTTTATCACAGATCAAAACATTTTCTCAGTGCCTTAGACCCAAAAGTTGAGGATGAAAGAAGGAACTATATTACTTAGCACTCCTTAACTGTTGGCAAACACACCAACCTTAGGCTTTGAAGAGGTACTTGCTTCACTCTTATGAAGTCCAGGTTTACTTTCAGATGACTTGGTGGTCTTCGCCTTCTTTGAGGAGGAGGAGGATGTAGAAGCAGAGGATGATAATGATAATGGTGACTTCATCTTGGCTAGCTCAGCCAGTATGACAGGAGCGATTGTTTCAGCTATGGCCTCCAGGTCAGACTTTTTTGACAAAGAGTGGAGACCTAGAAGGACAAAGATGGAAAAAGAGTCACACTTTGGTGGTTCATATGTCTAAACAGAGAAGGTTATCCTGTCAGTTGGAGTGTTTTATATGAAAAAAACAGAGATAGGTGAAATTTCTGTAATTTCAGTAGTTATTTTATTTATTTTTTAAAGTTAAATGGCCTGTATTTGTATAGCGCTTTACTTAGTCGCTATGGATCACATAGACAGACAGACAGACACACAGACACACATACATACAGAACATTTTCACTATACTCCACAGCAGTATAGTGAAAATGCTGTGGAGTATGAATTTGATCATGTTTGACAATGAAAACATACATTTGGAAGTGGGAGAAATGTATTAATTATGAGTATATTTTAAGTTATATG